TTTTCTTTAACAACATTAAAATATTAATGGAAATGAATAAATACTAAAGTTGAAATGACATTTTACTAAATCTAATGTTATTTTTGGATAAATATTAGTAAAGGAAAAGAAAATGAAAGTAAGGGAAGAAAGTTTATAGAGAAAAGAAAATGATACATGTAATTTTGTTTGGATAGCTAAATTAATGAATGAAAGGAAAAAAAATCATAATAACCCTTATTTATTTAAAGAGTGAAAAAAGAAAGAAAATGATTAATTATAATTTTTTTAATTATAACTTTCTTTTTATAAAATAAAAAATAAATTTCAAACTAAATTTTTTTAGTGAAATATTAAACTATAAATGTAAAATAATATATAATATTTTTAATTGTAAAAAACCAAATATCTTCTAAAAACTTGTTATAAAATGTAGAAATACAATATCCCAAGTTTTTACCCACAACGCATGACAAATGTGTTTAAATTAATTTTACGAATATATTTATTGACTAGACAAATGACATGGTAAACAATAATGATTATGTGATTTAGGACACCAATTTTGATTCTTTTAATTGGTACATTATTTTTTGTACGATTATATATATTGATTTATGTATTAAAACGATAATATGAAATTAAATCATTTTTATTTTTATTTTTTGTTTTCTGTTAGGGGTTTACTTTATAATAAGATAATATATTGTTTTTTAAATATATATATATATATATATTAAACTATGAGTTCTTGAAGGATCATTAGAAGATTTGGCATTAACTAGATTTGAAAATAAATAAAAACTTTATTTGAAATAAAAAAAAATTAGGGTGTAATAGTTATTTCAAGTTTTTAAAATTTTATTATTTTTCTTTTTCTTTCCCTTCCTTTTCTCCCAATTTAGGATAATTAAGAAATGAAAAAAATGCAAAGGAAAGCAAGGGGATTAAGCATCCATCCCTTTCCTTTATTTTAATTTATGTGAAGTCCAAACAAATGAAAGGTTAAAAAAGGTTTATTCATTTCCTTTCTTTTACCTTCCTTTCTATTCACTTACACTAATTTAAGTATAGGCTAAAAGTTTTCATTTGAAATCTTTTGTTATACTTTTATATTGTATACATGATTATTTAGTGATAATTAGGTGATTTCGAATAATAAATTTTTTTTTATTTTTACTTTTTTTAATTCAAGTACGATTAATTTATTAATTTTTAAAAAATTTTATCTTATCAGATAAAATAATACATATATTTCAATATTTAGAGTGTATTAATAACCACTCAAGTTTTTTTTTTTAACTAAAATTAGTTTATTCAAATTTGAAAATTGATTAAATTTAGTTGAAACTTTCTGAACACTTTTCAGGTTTTTATGCACCAAATGAAAAAAAAAAAAAAAAAAAAACAATGAACTACATACATAATAAATTTTATATTTTGTTACTTATGATATACTCCATAATCTAAAATTACATGTTTGATTTGTTTATCAAGTTACATTTTTAATCATTATTTTTTTTAAAAGATAACGGGAAATAAAATTGTTAAACAGATAATATTCTAAAATTTTAAAACTAATTATTCTCATATCATATTTTTTTTAAAATGCAAGAAATCATTGTACAATTTAATTTGATTGTTTTGTATTTGTTAATTTTAGGATAAAAAAAATACAATATTTTCTTATATTTTTATAGCTATGAATATCTAATTATTCATGTTATTCATATTATTAATGACCTTATATTCTTTGTAAATTCAAAATTATAAATTAAATTATTAGTAATCTGAAATAAGAAAAAAAATTCGACATGGACACCACTTTATTATATATATTTTTAATAATTATAATAATCAACAATTGTCTTTTTGTGTAAATAATCAATAACTATTATGTAATATAAAATAACTAACTTAAGTCTCAAGGATATGTTCATCTTAACATTTAGAAATTTTGAAAGTCTAATGTGCGTAAAAAGAGTTAGCTTTATGGGATGGGCATAGTTTATGATCTTTTGTAGTATAATAAATAATAAACTTTCATGAATGTTGAAAAAATTCAACACTTAGAATTGAAACACAAGTATAAAGACATGAGGTGTAACTATATTTACCTATTAATAAATTTAGTCATAAATTTTTGGTCGACTTCCATATTTATGATATCTACTTCATAAAAAAAGAAATTAAAAAGAGATAAATGTTGAAGATTATAACATAATAAATAAATAAATTTAATATATATCTCATTTAATGTCATTGTTTATAATAACATAATTGTCATTTTTGTTTCATATCTATCAGTTAAAATATTAGTTTTAAATGATAATTTATATATGTAATAATGAGTTTTGAAAAATAATTCATTATAATAGAAATTTCATAGAAATTTCCACTTCCAGGTACATACACAAAAAAAAAGGAGATAATATTAAGAATGATTTATGAATTATAATGAATATTTAATCTGATATAAAAATTTTAAAAATCTCTAATGTGGTATATGAGTTATGAATTTATTAACTAATGTATTTGAAGGGTTATTTGTGCATCATATGTCATCATTTAGAGCTAATCACATTAAAAGTAAGTATCATATTAATTAAAAAATTCATAATTCAGATATTTCATTAGAGATTTTTAAAATTCACATACCACGTTAAATATTTTACTATAATTTAAGGATTATTCGTAACATTAACCCAAAGAATTAGTATTAGGAATTTAATATCAAATTAATATAGCTCACGACTATCTAAATGTATTTATTTATTTAGATTTTCTTTTCAAAATAATTTTTTTTCAAACAACACCTTCATTTAATTAATGCAAATGATTCCTTTAAATTTTTTGTTTTATCATCGATCTCTTAAAACATGAGTTTTTAATGATAGCATACATTTTAGAAAGTACAAACATAAACAAGAGATAAAAAATATTTATTATTTATTTGATTTAATATATTAAAAATAATTTATTCTCCATTTATTTCTATACAATGATAGGTTACCACAAAGAAATACAAATATTAGATGTTTTTATCTTTTTATTATAAATTAGTTTAAATAAAAATTCATAATATGAAAGTCATCATATTAATTTCAATATTTGCAAGTATTACTTGTTTTAATAAATTAACATTAAAAAAAAAAGAATTAGAAGAGTTGTCATATTTATCTATATGTAAAATTTGATTCCAAACAATAAATATGCTCATTAATGATGAATTCATAATATATGTTAGGTTGTTAATTCAATATTTATTTGAAATAAAAAATAAAATACGAAAAGTTAGAATAATAAATTTTTATGTTTTTACATTTTAGTAATTAATGATTAAAAATAAATATTTTAAATATATATATATATGTATCAAATTTTCAAACTTTCATAGTTTTCTACCACCAATGCAAATTAAAATGATAGAAAAAAGAAAATTTATAAAATATTATCATATTAATTTCAATCTTTTCATAACCCATTTATATTTAAAAACTTTTCATATTCTACTAACAATTAAATTTAGAAAAAATGATAGAAATATGAAAAGTCATAAAAAGTATTATATTAATTTTAATAGTGTGATCAAACTACACAAGTATAAAATTAATTTGTTTTACACCATTTTATAACTCCATATATTATAATTTTTTTTTTATTAATCTACCATCAGATTTAACAATCCATTTGTACCTATTTTCATATAATGTTTCAAGTCAATTTAATATATTTATCATTTTGGTTAAGAATAAATATCATTTCAATATATACTAATGATTAACATTTTATTATTATCCAATAAATAGTTAAATATTTTACATTTACTTGAAGTTTGGCATACAAGTTTATTTGAAATAGTGCATAAAATTTAATGGTTGGATTATCAAATATAAATCATATAAAAAGATATGAGATGATGTAAAACTAATTTAGTTTTACACAGTCTAAGTAGATTTTATTCATTTTGGGTTTTCATGTTTCATTATTTAATGATTTAAAATAAATCTTTGAAAAGAAAAAGAAATATAAATCAGCTTTATTTTAAAAGGTTTTCATATTTTACTAATGATTTAAATTTATTAATAATAAAGAGAGAAAAGTCACAAATCATTATTATATTAATTTTAATCTATACATATTCCATCAATTAATGATTTAAAATAAATATTTTAAAATAAAAATATAAATAAATTTTATTGATTTTTCACTTTTATTTCTTTTGTAAGTTTCATGATTTCATTAGTCTTTCACAATAATGTTTTTTCTTTAATATGATTGTTATTTTAAATTTTTTGGTTTATTTTTTTAAAATTTAGTTTATTTTTTATCTTAATTTTTATTTCAATAAATAAAAAATTTTTAAAATTTAAAAAACTTATGTGTGTATGCGCATGTGTATATACATATATATATTATTTAAGTGTTATTTTTTAAGTTTATTTAAGTATATTTAAAGATAAAAGACTAATTGTGCAAAGCACAAATAAAAAAATCCTATTATATAATATAAAGATCAAATGTATATTTATCCCAACTTTTTTCTTGAGGGTTAAAATGAATTGGGAACACCAAAATTTGCCAAAATAAAAAAGAAACTCCAAATCCCATTTGATAAGAGAATAAAAATTCAAATTCAATAAAACTAATATTTAAAATAATCCTAATTCAAAGAAATTCAGAATAAAAACTATCTAAATTTGTTTAATAAAAATTTCAATTCGAACTCAAAACATATCCTTATTTGAGTCCAAGAAATCCCAAAATCGAAAAATATGATTGAAGCTCCAATTTAATCCCAACTCAAAAAGCATATTTAAATAATTATATTTTCATAAAATTTAAAAATAATATAACTAATTTGAATTTAAATAGAGTCAATCGATACAAATATGAAAAAACCAAAAACACTTAAAAGCAGTTAGATTGTCATGTAATTTAATCATTAAACTCGAATAAAAATTCCATATTTTGACATTCGAATTTCAGTGATAGTCAATCAAAGCAAAAATACTTATTTTCAATTCAAAGATGAAAATTGCAAATCCCCTTGGCCTCAACTGGGGAGATCGACCGAATAATAATAATATCTAATTTAAGAATTAAGAATACAAGGATTTTTCTTGAGAACCAAGGATCAAAAAGTAAGAAAACAATAAAATTCTGGGAAATGTAAATAAAACAGAACTGAATACCATACTTAATTGTTCTATAATTGACAGTAGCCAATACAAAACCAAGTGTAAAAGAAATAGAAAAATATATATATATCATACAAGCAAAGCATAGGCAAAGATATGCTTTCAGTTAGCAGCCAAATCTTCATACTGCCATGGGTTGAATTCAGTCGACCTAACATCAATCTCTTCACTGCTACTCGAGCTATCTATGGCAGCCCGGTGTTGGGCATACTTGCCATTGTATTGATACACTTCCATGTCACCCCAAGGAGTAGCAGAAACTTCGTCGGTGAAGTCAAACCATTTGGGAGTGAATTTGTGACCCTTTTCCTCTCTGTTTTTCCTTTCAGCTCTTTGTCTTTCCTCCAAACTGCACAACAAAGAGAGTTTAAGACATTAGTTCTCTATTTACTTTCTAGGTTGGGGACATGAATCGACATAATCATAAAGATCAAAGGAATTACTATGTTTGCATGAAGCACACCGAAAAGAGAAAAGTCACAAGAAAGAAACAGATGACATAGACAAGTATGCATGAAAGAAAAATAAACTTCACATGAAAGAAAAATAAACTTCAAAATCTAGTTTGAGAGAGATAAAAGACCTGCTTTTTTCAAAACCAGCTTTAGAGAGGTCACCCTGCTCTAATGCGTATCTATCAGGACGTAAACGAGAATCGGATGCTAATAGCTTCTTGGGAGCAGAATCAAAGCTGTTAATCTTATGTGCAAAATAAGTATACTGGAATTTATCATTTTTTGGAGCATCAGCAAGTCTCCATGCCTGCATAACGGCAACAACAGAGTAATGACAAGCAGTTCAATATCAGGGATATCATTTTTTTGTACTTTTTAAAACTTCACAAATTTATTAGCACAGGTAAGTATATTAGTCCTCGACTGCTTTGATTTTTAAATCAAAATATTCGTAATGTTAATATAGAAAATGTTATAATATGCAAAGAAAACTTTCAACATCCACCACGTGTAGCAGTTAATTTGCTACTGAAACCAGGCACCAGGGTTCTCTTGTTCATTGTCAGAAGCAGCACCATTTATTTGGTATGTGGAAAGCTATTGGGAAGGGTATGATACTTCACACAGAGGAACAAGTTTGTTTTTCACCATTTTTGACAGCAAATTTGTTTCAAAAATCAAATTTAATCACTCAGGGGAAGGCTCAGTATGAATAATCTGCTTTCTGATTAAGAATTGCATGCAAAAAAACACAATTCTTCATTATTCTGCTAGTTTTTTGACAGGAAAAGTGAAAATTCCAGAATACAAGCATCAAGAAATCTATGGGAGTGTTTATGAGAAGAATAAAAGATGAAAACAACTCAGAAATGTTGTGAGAAGAATAAAAGATGAAAACAACTCAGAAATGTTGAAAAAGACTAACCTCCTTTAGTTCAGTGCCTGGAAGGGGTTCCCCTTCACTATCACAAGGTTGATAATTCATTGACTCATTCCATTTTCCAGTCATCAGTATCTTTGGCTCCTCAGCAGCATTATATACATATCCATCAATCTCGTACCGGCCAGTTCTATGAACAACCAAGACCTAATGTTAAATTGTGTAAAATCAACAGATGGTGGAACTTGACAGATAAAACAAATAACTGATATAATAACTTATCAAATGAAATCCTTTCAAAATTTTGATGAGCTATTACATTTTTTCTTCAAAGATCAGAGAGGAATACACACACACACACACACACACACACACACACACATACACACACATACACTATATATATATATATATATATGTAGCTGATTAGTAAATTCTCAGAATAAAACCATACCCAAACCAACCACATGGTTGAAAATATAGCACAGCTTTGTCGCCTGTTGTCAGGTTTGTCATGATCATCTCCCCTAGTGAGTCAACCCAAGTTCGTCCAAAAATTAAGTTGTTAACTTTCGTGAGAGGAGGCACCAAATCGAAAACTACGCCATCTCTTTTGAGGGTCACGCGGGTCCTGCACACTAAATTATTTTAGAATCTATGCATGAGAACAAACTGCAAACTTTAAAAATATGCTGATTTGTGACTTTCATTGGTATCAAACACACCGAAAGGATACCCCAAATGAGCTCAACTTGATCAGATGAGAGGCACCCTAGATGATGATGATCCCAAAGAAGATTACGTGGTCAAACATAAAAATTCAAGTTTATGTATGACAGCCACAAAATCTCTGACTGATCAGAATGCATATTAAAATATTCTTCACTCCCCATTGCAGTGTTCTTGTATTGAAGGACATACATAAGCCAACAGATGCTAAATGCACAAGAACTCAAGCATTAAAAAAATTAGTTCAATTTTTTAACCCATATTCAACTCAACAACAAGTAGAAAATTCTCCAGCAACATGAGAGCTTTGCATCATCAGAATTAGAAATCATTGTAAATTTTCACAAACTCCAGAGATTAACGCTACTTCTATTAGCTTATAAAACATGCTAATGATGTACATGATGGTGAAATTGAAAATAATAAAAGTAATAAATAAGTCCTCTTGTTATGGAATAAGTTATGAAAGAATGTTTTACCTTCCAAGTGGATAGATATCAATCGAGTTTCCCAAAAATTTGGTTTTCACTTTAGAAGAAATATCATAAGTGAAATGATCATTTTCAGCATGACCAGCGCTCATTGGGGGGTGATGACTAACCTGCAAGGGAAAAGTGTCTAATAAAGATCTTAAATAGCAGCCATTTAGAGAAATTATACAAAAAAAAAAATCAGAAATAAGAGTCCAAAGCATCAAAATGAACAAAATAATTGAACCAAGACTTAGGTATAAAAGACCCACCTGTTCAGCTATAAAAGTAATGCCACCATGATTAACCATTTCATAAGTCTCACCAAGTATAGGATTGAATGGTTTCCAGGTACGTTGGTAGGCAGAGTAGACAGATATAGCCCATGATGCTGCAATTAGCTACTATTAGTTCATATAATTAAACTTAGAGAGAAAGAGAAAGAGTAGTTAGTAGAAATCTTACTAGTGTACACCAATCGCATATAAGGATCCTCACATTCATCTGCTAAATCTAGCAGGTAGGAGTACTCCATCAACTGTCATAGACAATGCGATCGATAAAATCCCCTAAGAGAAAAGAACCAAGCATAGCAATAACTGTAAAGCAATGAAGCTGGATTCGGAAACACAAACCTCAGCCATTTTCTGCAACATTGACATTGGGTCAAAAATAAGTACTGGAAGTGTCACCATTGATGTGACATCAGATCCTATATACTTTTGCATCATTTTCCAGTAACTGTCACTGTCCTGTTAAACAAGAGAAAGCAAAGCACATATGCCTATACAAGTTAATAAAAAGCTAATCTTCTTATCATTTCAAGCCAGATAAAGCAGTCTGTAGTGGATAATTTTATCATTTTGTGAAAGAAAACTTCAGCATTAGCAAGGTGACTTAAGCATTCTAGTCTTCTAGCAGCCAGTGGACAAACTTAGCTTTTCTTTTCATGCGTGTCACATGCTGAGCAACATTCAAGTGTTTCATATGTTGCAGCAAAATCAGATGGAACATGCTAGCCTGTGTTTTATTTTAATTTCTTAGCAATGTAAGGATAATTGTTACTGCATATAAGCCTGATAACCACTAACAATGAGAACACCAACTTAACACTTAAATGACTTTGCTGGCACTAAAATTTTTCAATTGAAGCCGAAGCATCATGATTCAAATGCATATGATAGAACCAGGCACCAAGCTAAGTGCTTTTGTTCCTTATTTTATTCAATTCGCCGAAAATTAAGAATTACCTCCTGTTTCCATCTTCCTCTCCTTGCTTCCTCTTCGGCATCTTCAGTCCCGCCTTCTGGATTAACAACCTCCAGCCCTTCATATCCCAATAAACTGTACAAACAGGAAAACAACCGTGAATTCTCAATGAGTTAAAAACCCATTTCAAAATATTCAATTTAGTTCATTCAAACAGACTAATCATTCAAGCTAAATTCTCTAATCAGCTCAAAAGAATTCATAGATCTGATACAACGAATTCCTTTTAAATCATAATTATTAAGCAATCAATAATAAATTCAAAATTGAAATAAAAGTAATATCCACGTGGAGATCGAAGCAATCAACTGGAATTTGTTTTAAAAATGATCCGAGAAAAAGGAAATTAAATAAAAAAAATAAAATTAGTGGATGGATCTTAATACCCGTTGACTGATTTAGTCATGGTGGTACCAAAATTAGACAAACTGTTAGCGATCGACGCAAAGAAACCACCGGTTTGCTTCGGATCATTCGGCGCCATCTCTCTTAATTACTTTTTTTTTCAAAAGAAAAAAATGACCGGCGAAAGTCGAAAGGGAAGAAGAGGCTTCAAAAAGACAGGAATTTTAATTTTTATTTATGAAATATTTACATTTCCTTTTATAATGATGCAAACAGCGAAGACTAGCAATGATGCTGGTTGGCGGTTCTCTGTTTTGAAGTCAAAATTGGAGATTTTTATCTCGTGTATTCCGCCACGCGTTGATTGAAGATCGAGTGACAATCCAAATAGGCGGCTTGCGAAGAAGCACCAAAAAAAGGTTAGGCCCTAGCGCGAGTGCACCTGGAATGGACATGGGTTGCTTAGCCGGCAAGCCTAAAGGGGTTTCGTGGCTAGTCCCGTGCGTTTTCTAAGTGGCTCTTTCCTTTGCCGCGTTAAAAGAATTAAAATGAAAAGTAGCTTTGAAGTTTTGATGTTTTGATTGTTCACACCAATGGAAAGGACTCTCTTTCTAGAGTTTGAACGATTTAAAGATGTATAAGTGAAGAGTCTACTTAATGGCGAGTAAGATTAAAAATAACAATAATTTTATTCAGATTAATTATTGCAATGTTAAAATTAAAATTAAGGATAAAAATATAAAATGCAACAGTAGTTATGAAATTTTGTAGGACAGTTATTCTATAAAAAAAAATAGATTATAGTAATTGAATTTTTATTTTTATTTTTAATTTTATATTAAAATAATATATTCTTTTAATTCAATAAACTACTGAACCATTCCTCCTTTAATTAAAAATTGGAAGAGCAGTGCAAAATAAGAGTCCCCGATTGCATCGATGGGGTGCAACTCAACATAGCCCATAGTGCAATTCGAAGCAAAAACTCCATTGAATTTCAAATCACCAGAAAGCTAGTGGAATATCTTTAATCACTTGTAATAGTTAATTCAATTAATAAGGAAAGAAATTTTCCTTTGTTAAAGTATGGATTTAATTCTTTCACTATTTTAATTATGTGGTTTTCGTATTTATACTCTAGTTCTATTGAATTTAATTTTTATTCCTTTATAAAAATAAATTTAAAGATTTTTTATCAATAAATTAAAGATAATTGATAACAATGAATTTTAGCTTATATAGATACATATGATTATATATTTAATATAGGTTAAATTTTGCAAAAAAATTTTATATTATGTAAAAATTTATAATTTAGATTTTTTATTATAGTTTATATAAGTTTGATTTTTTGTTTTTTATTTAATAATTTCAATTTAACAATAAACATGTAAAATTTTACTATTAAAATTGCTAATGTGACATTTGACTTGCTTATTTATGCATTGATTTAATTGACGTGAGGGACTAACTTGTTTGAGATTAATTTCTGTGATAAAATGGAGTTAAAAATGCAACGTGGCATTAAAATTTCTGCCAACTCGGATTTTGAAATTTTTTTTTCTTTTTTTTCCTAAATTTAAATAATTTCATTTATTCTAAAAAAAATCATCCACCGTGCCAACAGTCGTCTGATCGTCGCCGACAACTGCTCCCACTTGAAAAACCCCAAAAATTTTCATTTTCTGAACTCACATTCACTTTAGCCTGCCTGTATTTCTTTAAAAACCTCTACAATATCCTAGACTAAAGTCTAAACCCGAATCTTTTATCTCCAAAAAGTCCCTTTACCTCCATTCAAATCACCTATCACCACCAGAATATGTTCTTTCTCTCCACCAATATTCCTTTTTCACCAATACTCATTTATTACAAAGTTGACAACTATAATAAAAATTAGGGGAAATAAAAAAGAAAAAGGAACAGAAGACTCCACTTTCCAACACCAGAAAAATGGACAGTCTAAATCCAAGTAGCTGAGGCCCATGATCCGAAAGACCCGCTTTTGATTTTTCTTGTCGCGTTTGTCGCGTCGTCTCTGGCGGTGCCTTCACATTTCGGGATTTTGGAGAGATCATAACACCAGTGCTTCTCCTGTTTCAGCAAAGCTATGAAAGAGCATAGTACGTCCAAGGAAGGAAGGGTGTGTTTGTGCTTAGAGAAAGGGAAGGAAAACGTTTTTGGTTTCCAATTTCTAGTTTGATCGTGATTAAGGTTTGGGATCTGATTTGGGTTTTAGAGATTTAGAGGTTTTGGTGTAAGTTTGTTTGGTTTTTTTTTTTTTTTTCAACTTTCAAATTCTTTTTAATGATTTTTTTTGCCAAAAGTTAATGATATTTAATGATATTTAGAATTTAAAGTTATTTTGTATATAAAATTATGATAAGATAAAATAGAATAAAGTGTATTATAAATAGTATTAAAATTAAATAATATTATTTTATTTTATGTTTAATGTATTTAAAAATTAAAACAAAACAATTTATTTATTTTTTTGTTAAATTATTTTTTTAAAGTTTATTTAATTTAAATTATTGATTTAATATTTAAGAGTATAATTTAAATACAATCATTTTTTAAAAAATTTAAATCATCTTATATTAAAAGAAAAATATTTTTTATTTTTAATTAAATATAAATTAAATATAATATAAAATTATTATTATTTTATTTTATATATAATCGTATACACTAAATATAACTTAAATAAAATTATTTAAGTTTAAAAATAAATTACACAAATCGTCATTTAATTATAGAATTCATTTTAAAATGATTATTAAAATATTAGTTTTTTTAATTTTATTACTAACGTTTGAATTAATATTTTTTTAAGTTACTTAACGTTTTTTATTTGACGTGACTTAACACATCAAAAATAGTAAATTTCATGTCTGATTTTTTTTTTTTTTGGCATTAATTTAGGGTTAAAAATTACAAACTTCTTTTTACATTTTTCCACTTCCCTATTTATTTCCCTATTCTTTCCTGTTCATTCCCTCTTCTTTTTGTTTCTTTTTTTTTTTTTCTCCTCTGCTAAAGATGGAAAACCCTACTGTTATGAATTAAAGTTTCACCTGCTGATGTGGCTGGTATTATAAGGAGGCTAACCACTTACCCTGAGACGTTTTGAAATTCAAGATATATTAAAGAGGCACATACAATTTGCAATTATTGCAGGAATTATATCACAGTAGACAATCGATGCTGTGAGAGGTCTTTCTACTGAGAGTGCTATACAAAATATAAAAGAACAATTTTATATAACTTCAATGTGGTAGTTGAAAGCCATGAAACATTATAGCAGAAGTTTACTATTTTTTCTAGGTAGATTATGAGGCTTTTATATGTGATGAATATGGATAAGAATTTCATGAAATAGGAAAATGTTGCACGAAATGTATAAAGCCTGAATTTTATTCATTCTATCTTGAGTGACTATTTGCAGGCAAGCTTTCGTTACTTGTAAGTGTAGGTGACGGTTGGATCGCACAATATATTCTTGTATGAATTGTATTTTCTGTGATCAGAAGTTCTCCATCTTCACACGATTGTTTAGCCATTGGAAAAGAGTGTATTGTTTGAATCTAAAATGATGAACCCTGTTTGTTTTTGCCTTTTTTCGTTTAATGTCTGATGCAGTTAGCAAAATCTTTTATTGTTTGGTTCTCAATAAACTTTCTGCAATGTTAAAAACCTCTGAAGGTGAGAAGGCACTGACTACTGGTTATAATAAAAATCCAATGATGCAAACACGCATGAAAAAATGGGCGAATGCCAGCAACTTTACGTCTTAATCTATTTCTTCCATTCGGACATCAAATAAAGTATTGGTATTTCTTTGGATCTTTGCCTTTGGGGCTAGTAAAAAAGAGAAGTATCAAATATTGCTATAATAATGCTAGTCATGCGAGCTTGGAGCTTCATATGAGCTAAAAATTATTTTAAATTTAGTTGTACATCAAAATTTCGATTCCTTTTTCATTAATTTAAACCTGATACTGCGGCAGAATCAGTTTGGAAAGACAACTGCTAGTTGTTCTAAAGTCATTAGAAAACAAAAATTATATAAAAAGCTTTCTTTATTTGTCCATAGAATCACATTCTGCCAACAAGATTAATTGTCTTCATTTTTTTTTTCATTTCCTTCTTTTTTCCCTTTATTATTATTATTATTGGACCTTTTTTTTTTTATATAGTAATGGGAAAGGGGAAGGAGGAAAAGGAATAAATATTATAAAACGAAGAAGAAGAAGAAGAAGAAGAAGAGGAAGACGAAATCTGAGGAGCTGGAATTTCTCTTTATTTTTAAGGTTTAGGAGAGTTAGGACTTTTGATTGGTCGGAAGTTGAAATAAGAAATGATTAAAGAGCATTTTATTTGCATTAAAACTATGGTCGATAATCTAATCCATTTTCGATAGGTTTCAATTTGACCTAATCCTATGAAATCGGATATTTTTTTTTGAAATTCGGGTTTTGGATAGGGTCAAATAAAGTAAAGTTAAAAAATAATTGAGATCGGATTTTAGACAAACCCGACCCGATCGATCCGATATTATATAAAAAATTATTTTTTAATTAATTATTTAATTTTGTATATATATATTTATATAATGATATTTTTAAATATATATTTTAAAAAATAATTTTTTATATTTTAAAAATAATATTTTATTAATTTCGGGTCGGATCGAGTACGGTTTATATAGTATCAGATCGGAGTCAGATATGAAAAAACAAAAAAAATTTTCGATAAAATCAAATTCAAATTTAATAACATATAAAATCGAATCAAATTTGAGATTAAAAAAACTCGCACTAAATCCTATCCAATGTCAACCCTAATTAAAACCTCGTTCTCTTTGATTACTTTTGATTTTCTTTAATTAGTATTATATTTTATTTGTTTTGAAGCGGTTTTTACGATGAAAACAGTAAGAGAATGAAAAAGATTAGAAATTTTCATTCATTATATTAGGATTTTTCACCCTTAACCAAAGGAGAAAAAACAAAGAAAGAGGAGTAAAAATAAACAGAAAAGAATATGAAATGAAGCAGGAAAAAAAAAGAAATAAAAAAAAGTTAATTTTCAACCCTAAATTAATGCAAAAAAAAAATGACATGAATTTATCATTTCTAATGTATCAAATCATATAAGATAAATGTTAAGATTTAATGGTTCAGTAAAAAAAATATTAATTCAAATATTAATGACAAAATTAAGAAAATTAATGCTTTATTAATCATTTAAAAACAACTTCTATAATTAAGTGGTTATTTGTATAATTTACCAAAAATAAAATTTCATGATTAATGTGACAAAAATTTTAACATTACGTGATTTTTTAAAGTTTACGTCATAATTAAAATCAATCTTAACGGAATAATATATCACGTCAACCAAATCAATGCAGATGCCACTAAATCAAACATCAATCACATTAATAAATCAAACACCAAATCAATGATAAAATTTTAACACTGTTTACAATTGAATTTAAATTATTAAATTAAAGTAATAAAAAATTAAATTTATATAAATTATAATAAAAAATTTAAATTTAAATTTTCGTATAATACAAAAATCTCCGACATAATTTGACTTTCAATAGATAATTATTATTTGAAAGTAAATAAAATATAAATATTCAACTTTATACATGTTTAACAATTAAAAGAAAAAGAAAACAAATATAAATGGATAGTAAACTTGGGCTTGGGGACTTCCCACTGTGCCATAAAACTTTGGGCCTTTGACTTGTCAGCTGATTTGGTGGTTCAATTTGCCAATTCAAGAGTAGGCTTGCCGAATACAGAACTTTGGTGGAATTTTTATTGTAATTAATATCATCATCCATTCAAATGAAACATAAGTAAATAAGATGAGGAGAGGATGATTTTCGATGGACTTTAATTCCAGTGTCAGAAAAACCAGTTGTTTCTAAAGAGAAGTTGGAGGCAGGGCACATTCAATAAATTCACTGCAAATGCCGATACTTGCCTAGTTGCGCCCGTGTTTTTTCGGGGGCATTTAAGCGTTTTATCTTTAGGATTGGAAGGTGTTAGGAGAAAAGAGAGAAAAGGCAGTGCCCAATGCCATTTGTGTTGTTTCATTCCAACAGCTATTAGCTGAATCTGATTTTACAAACATTTCCCCTCAAAAACAGTTGGCCAAACGTTGCCTGTGTTTCTCCAATTCTGTATTTTGGCCAATGGTCAAATTGATTAAAAGATCATCATTTATGTTGGCAATAAATGTTGCTTAAACAATTACCGACTTGACTTGTAAAGAAACGCTTTCCTTGAAACATTCAACCCCTCCATACTCTAATGAAACGTGCATTGGATGATAATTATTGGCTGTAAAGCAAAACTATAAACATGCTTAAAGATTGCTTCTTTTTAGCATCCATCTTAGGTTCTTCACATGCTTGAACGTGGCAAACATGATAGTAATAGAAGTTAATTAAATTATGATTTATAATAATATTTTTATTAAATATAATAATTTATAATTAATTTAATGAATTTCAATTATATTATTTTTATAAGTAAAATATGCTTTTAATGCCATCGGATGTTGATTTAAGTAAAAAGAGAAATTTTTTTTATTATTTTGAGTTCAACTTTATTAGAATAATTTGATAAGATAATTTCTTACTAAAACAAACCATATTTAATTCATACATTAAGAATACGCACTAGAGCTAGGGAGAGAACTTGTATGGAAGTTTAGGGCAGATAGCAATTGATTAAATCAATAATTATTGAAGTAATTAGTTCACGGCCTTCTGGTTGACTCTCTGTAAATTTGACGACTCGCTCAAGAGAATAATTTTTTTTTTTTTAAATTGTCAAAGACTTTATTTATGCTTCCTAAATACTATTTTATTCACCATGTATTTATTTTTTTCATATTAAGGCCGCATGTGCTGGGTTTTAGTAACGGAGTAGGCGTACCGTTAGACTTGCCACAATATTTTTCATTGTATACTTAAAAAAAATAAATAAATGCATTTTCATGACATATTTTTCCGTGTATTTAGAAGTTGTCTGAATTCGGGTCAATTCTTCTAGCAGCCAAATTTGTTGGTCGGTCGTTGACTACCTCCCCAAACCCCTTCACATTCTCACTCTCACACGTTTCTTTTTGACAATTTTTAGCTGAAAAAGTAAAAAACTTTGTCCGAATTTTAAAAACTGATTTGGATTGATCAAATCTTTTCTCAGTTTCAGCTTCCATGGCTACAGATTCTACACCCCGCATCCCAAACAGGGCCAATTCAAGGAGGTCTAGCAACTTGATACACCCAGTTGATGTAGAAACGCCACCTGTTGGGACTCCAAGTCCAATCATTTACAGGGAAATCAAGCATTTCAAGAAATGGATACCTTGGTTGATTCCTGCTTTCATTGTTGCCAATACTGTTATGTTCATCATCACCATGTATGTGAACAATTGTCCCAAGAATTCTGTTTCTTGCATTGCCGATTTCTTAGGTAGGTTCTCCTTTCAGCCTTTTAAGGAGAATCCTCTTCTGGGTCCTTCTTCTGCCACGTAAGTCATTCATTGTATCGCCATTGCTATTTTTTTTTTCAATTTTAACTAATTTTTATCATGTTTAAGCGGATGAGTTCATGTTTATTGGTTTTAGGCTGCAGAAGATGGGGGCTCTAGATGTAAAGAAAGTGATTGATGGACACCAGGGATGGCGTCTCATCACTTGCAATTGGTTACATGGAGGGGTTTTCCATTTGCTGGCAAACATGTTGGGTCTTTTAGTCATTGGAATCCGGCTTGAAAGAGAATTTGGATTTAGTATGTGCTTTAATCCGTAGTTCCTGCTTTGTTTAATGAAATAATGAGTGCGGATTAGCTCTGGAAGTTTTGCCTTGATATTGACTCATACATTCATAGAGTATGCAAAGTTTTAGAATCCTCTAAACTTCCATGTTATACTGCTGTTTTAATGAAATTGTTTATGTTCTATACCTATTTTCTTAGCTCAATTTATGCATGTCTGTGCTTCGGACCTTACCCCATTATTAATTGCTATATAAAGCAACACCTGCCTTGTCTTTGACTCCTTTTATTCCTGTTTCTCCACAAAGTTTTGTCCTCTTGTCATCCACATCTGTACTGAAAGAAATCCAATCAATCTAAACTGTGTTTGTATTCTTTAGTCTCTTTGATAGCCATTCAAAGGATTTGAATCCCTCATTAGATCCCTTCGATTCAAATTCTTCTTTTGTTTTTGTTGCATCTGTTATAAGCTTCAAATTCCAGCAAACTTATCTTTTGCTGGAGGGCATGAATGGCATCAAAGTGAAGCATTCTTTTGTATGTCACATTTGATACATAAGCTTCATGCAGCAGTATTCAGGTCATGGTTTTGAGTTAAGACCATTGATTTACAGAAAGGTATCAGTAGTGCCATTGTTAATTTGGCAAGACGTTGTTTAATTCCAATCTGCTGAACATTGAGCTTCTTCAACTTAAATGAAAATGAGATTGTATTTATGTTATGCTACATTTACTAATTTAGCATAGCCTCCTGCTTGATTTTTGTGTGATTCTGTTGCAGTTCGGGTTGGATTGCTTTATATCATCTCTGGATTTGGTGGGAGTTTGATGTCCGCTCTTTTCCTCCAGTCAAATATCTCTGTTGGTGCCTCTGGTGCACTTTTTGGGTTACTTGGAGGCATGCTTTCTGAACTCATTACTAATTGGACAATATATGCTAATAAGGTACATAATTGCTCAATCATTAATTGAATTACAGACATCCAAATATTGAGGCTCTGGTATGTTATTACTTGTTATTGGGCCAAAATGCCTTCAATTTTGTGTGCTTTTGCAGGTGGCAGCATTTGTGACTCTCCTGGTCATCATTGCCATCAATTTAGCAGTAGGAATCCTACCACATGTTGACAACTTTGCTCACATTGGAGGATTTCTCACCGGTTTCCTTCTTGGTTTTGTATTTCTCATCCGCCCCCAGTTTGGATGGGTTAGTCAAAGATATGCCCCTCCAGGATATCCAAGTTCAGCTAACCCTAAATTCAAGAAATATCAGTGCATTTTGTGGATCGTTTCCTTGATCCTTTTAATTGTGGGGTAAGCAGATAAACCATTTTGTTTTTTGGATGGTCTGTTTTTCTTATTAAATTGCAGTTTAAAAATGTTGGAAAGGGGAGTGAAAGAAAAATGTAGGAACTTAAGAACATGACATCTATTTTGACTGATGAACTATGCTGTTACTACTACCATGCTCAGACTAGTTCTCCCTCCCTTCTGGACATGGTGCTTGATTATATGATTAACATGGTGACTTTTGACTTGATTTTTGCTTAAAAATGATGCTATTTTTGCAGTTTGACCCTTGGACTGGTTATGCTCCTCCGTGGAGTTGATGCAAATGATCATTGTTCTTGGTGTCATTACTTGTCTTGCGTCCCTACTTCAAGATGGAGCTGCAATACGGAGCCTGCATACTGCTCGGTAACAAAAATCAACACTGTTTTTCATTTTTTATTTCCCTTTATGCTTTCAACACATGTCAATGGATTCAATCCTTTATCAAAACGTATTAAATTATGGCTCCCAAATGTAGATCCTTTTATAATTGGATTGAAAGGATGGCTATGTAACAACTACTTTGACCATGTCACTAAGTAGTGAATCTTAAGCATGTTAGTTAGAACAACAAAACGGGAAAATAAGAATAAGGAGATGTCAGGAAATGAGAAGATTTTAGTGTTCTGGGCATAAATTGTCGCATAAGATTTCATCCTCAACTGGGATACAACTGTTGGTTTTATCCCTCCAGCGAATCTGTGACTTGGGATTTGCGAAAAGTGGGTGCTTGATATTAAACTCCCTCAGTCCCTCTACATTTTGAACCAGATTTGGTATAATAAAGAGCACAATATAATTCTCAGAGATCAGACTCATGCTTATGCAAACATTGTTTTATTTCTTGTGGTGCAACTTGTTTTCAGTTTGCCTTAACTTTTACATATACCTTATGCATGAACTTAAACTATGCAGTCCACCCAACTAGGCAGCCAGGTAAATGTTACTTGCTCCACCAGCGGAAAGACCACCACATACTTTTTGCCAGGCGCAAGAAGTTCTCAGATCCAGAATCTATGTTCTCAGCAGTGCAGCTGATTTATATGCCAAAAGATGGAACTTCTAGCATTCATCATGCATTGCTTTCAAGTGCAAAATTTTATCACTGTTAGCATGTTTAAGAGCTATTCGTTTTATATGTTTACAATGCATTATACATTTTATCTTTACAAACTACATTGTTCTGTAAGTTGATCTTCAAGGTGGTACGAGCATGTTTAAAAGTTAAAACCTTTGACAAAAAAAGAAATAGTGATTATAAATATACTGTTTTCTTTTAAATAATATTGTATATAACAAAAATCATACTAATGGATCCTTTGGTTACCTGCACATAGTACGAGATTAAAACTAGCGTTCATGAATGTTTCAAAAAAAAAAAAAAAACTAGTGTTCATGAATAAAGGTGTTCGTAGGTTGAGTTGTTTGTTGAACCCATGGGCTTGGCTTGACTCAAATGCATATTTTTTAACCCGTTTCATTCTTAATAATAATAATAATAATAATAATAATAAAAAATAATTTTTTTATATTTAATTTTAATATTAATATATTAATATAATTTTATAAATATAATTTAAATAAATTAGCTGGACATGACTAAGTTATAGAGGTATCAATTCAGCCTGACATGGCCCATGGATACGGCTTCATTTACCTTTGACTTAGCAAGCCTCGGATCTTCAAACGGACCTCATAGCCCAATATATATGGGCTCAACGTATGTTTTTCCCCACCAACAAAGCAGGCGACCCGGCCCGAATAAGTCGTCATTTTGCCATTTTGGCGACAAAATAAATATCATCCGGACTTCCACACAAAGCTTTATCGCCAAAAGCTACTGCAAACAAGCAAAAACGAAGTTCATTTTTCTTCCCTCAGCTCGCCACATGAACCATTAATTTCTCCTTCACTAAAATCAAAACAATGATGGCTGTTCGCGCCGTCAACGGAGGTTCTTTGTTTCGTTCCGCCGCATCACCTCCTCTCTTGACGTTCTGCTGCCGGCTTCGCCACTTTGGCTCCTTACAGTTTCGCCGCAACTCTGAATTAGGGCTTCGGTTTCCTATCTTCAGTTGCGAGAATCAGTTTTTAGGTTATGGCGGTGGCCGTTCACGTTCGGCTCATAGTCTCGTCGATTGCGTCATGGAAGAGCTAGCAGATTGGCGCTGTCGCAGAAGAGTTCGCGCCAATGTCAAGTAAAGTTAACCAAACACTTTATTGAGTTTTGTTTCTTGTTTGTTTTGTTTTATGCAAAATTTATATTTGATTAAAATTGAAATAAATAATTAAAACGCAAAACATATTTCAGTACACAAAAAAGTAAAATCATCCCTTTTTGTTATTCATGAAAATTAAATTTTATATATTTTTAATTATTCAATACTCTTAACTCTATTTTTCTTGAAGCAATTAGTAGTAAAAATAACAGCCAAACAGAGTCTTGATTTAATATTAGTACATTACTAGTTGTAATTAAAGAAATGCAAAGATTTAGCTGTAAATTACATTTTTTTTGTTCCTTCTATGGTTTACCGGATTCTTGACATCGTTTCTGGTACTTAATCAAGGTAGAATTTGAATATTACTTGCGTGCTAGATTTAGAGTAATTGGTGAAGCTTGAATGTGGTAATTAATTTTCTTATCAGGGTGAGGCTAACGAGTAGCAGTGAGCTTCTTGAGGATAAGCTTGTAAATCGAGAATTAGAAAAGGGGTTGCTGCTGGAGTTTAAGAAGGATTCGGATAGGGTATTGCTTGGAGTTGCTCAGAGACCTGATGGCAAGAAAAATTGGATGGTGTACGATCAGGTTCTTGTAGAAACAACTCATGCGGCATGTTGAATAGGTTGCTAGGTGTTAGAGCTCATGTTTTATTATGTCATATGTTAAAGAAATTTCAAATTGTTTGAGCTAATGTAACCTTTTGCTTTTCTTGTAATACAGAATGGTGTCACATCATCCATCAAACCGCAGCAAATTACATATATTGTTCCAGGTGTAGAAAATTTTGATCAGACAGAAATTTCAAAATTTCTCCGAGAAGCTCAGGAAAACTTGGTTTGTTCAACTTGATTTATTGATGATAAACAGAAAAATTTTGTGGGTTTCTTGTGTGGTTGAGTTTATTGCAAAATACTCTGATGCAGGATCCAACATTACTAGAAATTGCTTGGGTTGAGCTTCTTGAAAAGAACAAGTCAGTGACAGCAGAAGAATTAGCAGAGGTACCATATTTTGCTGTGAATTGTGGAACTGTCAGCTTGCTCATTAGCTGATCTTATCTTACCGTGCAGATGATTTTTGGTAGTTCGGAGCCTCTTGAGAGCTACTGCGCCCATCTTTTGCTATCAAAAGATGAAGTATACTTTAGTGTGTTGGAGACAAAAGGTTTTCGTTCCATTTATGGGCCTCGACCAACAGGACAGGTACATGTAATGGTTGATTAAGTGTAGTAGAAGTGCTTTTTTGACCAAAAAAACATGTGGTAAAAGAGCTTCTGTATGCAACTTGGACTGGCCAGAAGAGTGATGTCTTGTAACTTAACCTATTCTTTTTATTGATTTCCATATCTAGGTGGAAGAACTTTTACGCAAGAAGCTTGCCAAGGATGCTGCTGAGAAAGAACTTCAGGACTTCGTACAATTACTTCTGTCTGCTAAAGCAAAGCCTGCACATGCTAAACCTCCCAAATCTTCATGGATGGTGGATGAGAAAATCCAATACAAAATTGAGTCTCTTGAAGCATATGCCATTGATGCTTGGAAAAGTGATGAGCAAAGGAAAACTGCTGGACTGGTAGTTTGTCTGACTTCACTGAGTTCTTTCTAATTTGATGTGATAATCTATTCTGTCTTTAATAACAGGCTGATTGAGATGAACTCACTACCATAAAATCATAGGTTTTGATTTGAAGGAAAAAACTTTTACTATATTTTATGGCTTTTTTTTTTTTTTATGTTTGCATTTGTATAAATCACATCGTTAATTTCACTTTCTCTGAATAATATATTTTCATTCTTGTCAGATCCTTAAGGCAATGGGACTTACAAAATCAGCATCCTCAGCACTAAACCTACTCATAAATATTGGTTATTTTCCTGTACATGTCAATCTGGACCTGTTAAAGTTAAACATTCTTACAAACCATTCTGGTGAGATTATAGCTGCTGCTGAAAGTCTTTTGTCTGATTCATCTGACCCAGATGAGGTAATCTGGCTTCCATCTCTACATGAAGGTTCCATTTTCATTTTACTAGAAAAGCATACAGCCTATGATATTTACAAGTCAAAAATCAGCTCTCTGTCCTGTCTGAAATATTTCTTTGACTTAATCACCGAATGCGTCTCTACATTGTTAAATCTGAACAGTGAAGATTTTAATATTGGTTTATCATTTTATCATGATTTCTGAAATCTTTGTTGATCATATGTTCACTTAGTTTTCATTGTGTTTAGATGAACAGAAAGGATCTTACTCATTTGAAGGTTTATGCTATTGATGTTGATGAGGCTGACGAGGTATTTGGCACTACTAGCTTTCTTGATCTCAATTCTATTTCCTTTTTATGTCAACTTTTATTCTCAAATTGCTTATTATTTTGTAGCTTGATGATGCCTTGAGTGCAACAAGGTTGCAAGATGGCCGCATTAGAGTATGGATACATGTTGCAGATCCAATTAGATATGTTGAACCTGGGAGCACAGTAGACAGGTATCCTTTGAAATTGTTGAGTGTAGATTACAACAATATGCCATGGTCATTTTATATACTCGATTATGTTTAGGGAAGCACTGAGAAGAGGAACTTCTGTTTTCTTGCCAACTGGCACTTATCCTATGTTTCCTGAGAAACTTGCCATGGAGGGAATGAGTTTGAAACAAGGAGAACATTGCAATGCTGTCAGTGTATCTGTTGTCTTGCACTCTGATGGCAGGTAAGTGTGAATTTATTAATTTTTTCTTCTTTTTTGAGTACAAGGATTTTTCTATCTATATATTTCTACTTGAATTAAACTGAGGGTGGTGGAAGAGCATGTTAGGTTTCTTGTATAAGCCATAAGACTGACTCAGAAATGTGATGGGTATGTTTACAAGGAGTCTGGAGGTCCTCGAAGTTTTTTTTGTGCTCCCACAGGACTTTGAATTGAGTCAATTGTATTGTAATTGTTTGAGTAAATGTACTCCACTATTCCTAATTATTGTTGGCATATGAGCTACTTTTCAACTGAAAAGAATACTACTTATTCTCATTTCTTTCTGGTCTCTTTATTTGTGCATCTACCTGTTGGCATGTGCATTGGTTGCTTACAATTTGGACACAATAAACTGTTTTCAGGTTTTCTTTTTTGCCTGCATTAGATGTTATTTTATTAATGAAGACCGTTTGACATGTCTGTGGTACTAAAGCATTGCAGAGTATTCAGTTCAAAGCTCAATCATTAAACCAACTTATATGCTGACCTATGAGAGTGCAACTGAGCTGCTTCATTTGAACTTGGAAGAGGAGGCTGAGCTGAAGATTCTGTCTGAGGCAGCCGCTCTAAGGTTAAAATGGCGTTGCCGGCAGGTTGGGCTGTAGTTTATTATCATTTTAATTGCCGAGGGTTTATTCTTGTTCTATCTTTATATTTCTAAGACAGGCTTGTTCTGTTTTTATATCCCTAATAATCCTTTTGCAGGGTGCAATTGATACATCCACCCTAGAAACTCGAATTAAAGTGGTTAACCCAGAGGACCCAGAACCATCGATTAATCTTTACATTGAAAACCAGGCAGACCCTGCAATGCGACTTGTTTCTGAGCTCATGATACTATGTGGAGAAGTTGTAGCAACTTTTGGCTCTTGCAATAACATTCCTTTACCCTATAGAGGTCAACCGCAGTCAAATATTGATGTATCTGTGTATTCACATCTTCCTGAAGGACCAGTTCGAAGCTCTGCCATTGTTAGAATAATGCGGGCAGCTGAAATTGATTTCAGGAAGCCTATTCGACATGGGGTTCTGGGAATTCCTGGTTATGTTCAGTTTACATCACCCATCCGTAGATATTTGGATCTTCTTGCTCATTTTCAGGTTTTCTTCTCTACTCTTGTTGATACACACTGGTATTAATACACTCTTTTGTGGATTCTTCTTTCATGGATGTTTGCTGCTTGTTGCTAATATTGTTCATTGGCACTGTAACTCTTATGGTTATGGTAGTGTTTTGCTGAAATTCTTAGTGTTTTTGTTATTATTGTTGCTGCTATAATCATTGTATTACAAGGCTAGATGTTATGGTATTGATATTGAAAAAAGTCATGCAAAGAAGGGTACTTGATCTCATCTTGTTTGGTATTTTCATATCTCTGTCTAGGTAAAGGCATTTCTTAGAGGTGAATCTCCACCTTTTTCAGCTGGTCAGCTAGAAGGGATGGCATCAATAGTAAATATGCAAGTTAGAGTAGTAAGGAGGCTCTCCAGCAGCAGTCTCCGGTATTGGATAATAGAATTTCTGAGAAGGCAGCCAAGGGAGAAAATATATCGTGCATTGATCCTTCGATTCATCAAGGACAGGATTGCAGCGTTGTTACTAGTTGAGGCAAGTATATTTAGTAGTTACTTTGCTATCAATTCTTATAAGACTCTAACTAATATGATAGATTTGGATTTGGAATTCGAAGAGATGTGATTAACATCTTGCATTAATTTGACTTTTGAGTCAACCATTCAATGTCGCAGGTGGGACTTCAGGCATCTGCATGGGTGTCTGTAGGAGCACAGGTAGGAGATGAAGTAGACGTTAAAGTGGAAGAAGCCCATCCTCGTGATGATGTTCTTTCCCTTAAGGAGGTTATTAGAAACTGAAGTGATTTATTTTGAAGAAACTTATCAGTTATCACTGTAGATACAATTTTGTTTTTTCTCAATAGACATGCTGTTTGTAAAATGGTAACATTTGGCCTTAACAGATGGAAATAATAAATTTCATCTTTTCCTTGGTAATTTATATGAACTAACTAAATTCTCTTTAGTTTTGCAGCTAATTCTTTTTTCGACAGCAGTTTCCTTTAGCAAGAGTTAATGCATTATCAAAACTTGTGTAACTTCCGAAAGCAATCCGGAATGGACCACTTTCAATTGTCAGAAGTTATCCCTTACAACTGTAAGCGGTTAACACAAGTTTTCTAAACAAGATGCATTCTGTTATCAATATCTGTTGTTTTAATATTGTAATTCGCACAACAGCACTTTCACAATTTTGAAATGGGGCAAGTGAAAAATGTTTTAACATGTAACGGCATGTGCTTCACTTTTTTATTTGTATAGACAATGGCATCCAAGTTGTGGAGGTGTCGACCAATATATTTGGGAGTTTGGGTTTTCAACTTTGTGATTTGATATGCTTGAAATATCTTGAAAAGGAGTGAATGCCATAAAAATCGTGTAATTCATCTATTACAGACGCACTTTTGGTTTTACCTTTTCTTCGATGAGAACGGACGCGTGACGCACATAAGTTAAGCAGATTTAGCCGCCTTTGGCTGCTGATACGAAAGCAAAGGGGCGGAGAGTAAGTCGGAGAGTAACAGTCAGCAAATAGCGATTTGCCCATTTTATGAATTTAAAAGATTCCCACGATTTTCATTTCTTGCGTCACAACTTCCTGCTTTCAGGATGTAAAACCTAATTAAATATATATCGGGTTTTCACATGATTTAAAAAGCTTTCGTTTAAGTTGCTTCTCCATTAGTGTGTCGGTTTGGAGGTTTTATTCATCATCATGCTTCAAGGCACGTGGTTGATGTGCTAACACTAATAATGTTTCAGCCATTGGTGTGAACTAAATCAACTCTTAACTTGGCCTCAGTGAGTAGAGATGAAAAAAAAAAAGAAAAAATTGAAATTTAATTTGAAATCATATAATATTGAGTTGGGTTTGGATTAATTTTTTATTCGGTTCGGATTAAATTTGGATATTAAATATATATTAAGTTTAGATCAAAAAATAAAAAATTAAAAAATTAAATTAAATTGAATTATATATTTTTGTTAAAATTTATATATTTTTAAAATTTTTAAAAAATAAAATAATTATTTTATATATAAATTTATTTAAATATATTAAAAATTAATTTATTACCCAGTGTGATGTTCAAATTAATTTTATCTTTTAAATATAATAATTATTATTATACCTTTTCATCTCTTTTTTTATATTATATTTACAACTTTTATCTTTGTTAAAAATAACTATGATTATTTTTTTAATGATTAAAGGCCACGCTTTTATAAAAAAAAAAAAAAAAGCTATTGATCTTCTATGCTAAACCAATAGCATATATCTTGAAAAAACGAAACAATTTTTGTGTAAAGGGGTTTTCTTCTTTGCAAATTAAGCATGTGCAAACTAAAAATTAGTATGGTAGTACTTATTGTTAATGTGTTGGAAGATCCTTTAATGTTGTTGAGAGTAAATAATACTTTATTAGGATTGGCTCGTTTCTTCTTTTGGATACCAAACATAGAATTATTTTTCGATGCGCCAATAAGTGAGGATGTGGCATGATTTTGTAGGAGAATTTGCTGATCCACTGAATTCAACATCAAACCAAAATGCAAATTCATGTAGCAAAGCTTAGATTCAAGAAAATATGATTATTATACTTAAAATGAATAGGTATACTTGTAAACACCTGATTTTGTTCGGATTATCAAAAATAGACCTTGATTTCAAAGGATTTTAGGTCCAAAATCTATGTCAGTTGGGCTTAAGGCTCAAATTTATCTTTGGCCCAAAGTCTAGGTAAGGGCCTAGGTTTAATTAAAATGAGAAAACTAAAATAAAAATAACAATAATTAATTAATTAAAAAAAGAAAAAAAAGAGAAAGCCTGTGACTGTGGGTGCTGTGCACGGCACTAGCACTCACAAGCCCCCTTTGCCTACAATCCTTCACCCTAGAAGCATCATGTGGCTCACCCTTCTCCTTTTGGCCGTGACAAATAACACCAAGCTTTCAAGAAACATGACTTAGGTTAAAATAGAAAAAATAAAAATCACGGCAGCTGCCTTGAAAGTGTGGAAGCCACTAGTGACCCTTGAACTCCCCAAAAAAATCCCAAAAAACATGGGATTTGACCTCCCATCTTAGTTTTATAAATTAAGCTATCATGAACAAAAAAAAAAAGGGAAAAAAAGCAGAACCTCTACCAAAAGAGCCCAAAAAGAATAATAAAACATTTCCTAACCTATAAAAAAAATCAAAAACAAAATTCACATCCTCTAGAGCAGGAAACCAAAGCCAAAAAAAAAAAAAAAAACACAAAAAACAAACCAAAAAACCCAACAAAAAAAAAGAAAGAGTTTTGGCCGAAAGTTTGTAGGTTTATTTAGAAGCTTCTAGGCAATTTCAAGGAAAAAGAAAGCTAGAACGAGAATCGAGGGGTTGAAAGGAGTTTTTTGGTGGTTTTTGAAAGTTTTCTAGTGTTCGACACGATGATCGATGATAGCGATAGACCATGACGGTGACTAACCATTTTTTGGGATTCAGATCGTCGATAAGAGCAACTTTGAAGTTTTTTTTTGGTGTATTTGAAAGCTTTTTTTTTTTTTTTTTTCAAAAGGAAAGCTGAAATGATTAAGAAAAAAGTTAGGTTTTTATAGTAAAAAAAAGGGAAAGAATTAAAACGATGCATTTTTGGGAGGGGAAGATTTGTGTGACCTTGAGATTTGATCCAAGACTTGCATGACCCTCTAGAAAAGCTACAGTTGACCAAATTTTGACTGATTCGATCGAATTGGATTTGAATCGGCTTGAATTGCGAAAAGCCACTCCAGACCGTTTGAACTACAAAAAATCACTTCGGACCATTGCCAAGTTGCTAAACTGCCTCAAGACCGGCAAACTATTGATTGATTCGATTCAGGTATTTTTTTTTCTTGATTTTTGTTACTTATTTTTATTTTCATTATACTATTGCCATTTTATTTTTTCTAGCTTATTTTTTTATGCATATTTAAAATTTCAAATCTACAAAATAAATATTTGTTACTTAAAAATAAAATTTAAATTTTTGGTAATTTTAAATTTTGCTTTTTTTAATAATAAAATAAAAATAAATAAATAAAATAATTTAAAAATGAAGAGAAAAATTTTTTTATCCGATAATGAGAAAATCTATGTAGTGATTCATATGAAATCTCCAGATAAAAATTTTTTTTTAAAAAAATACTATCAATGTATTGGAGTATTTATAAAAAATTTACAATACAATAAAAATTCTTTTTTCTTCTACTTAAAAAAATAATACAAAAAATAAATAAATAATAAGAATACAAAAAATTTAATAAACCAAAATTTCTAAAATATGCATTTTTTCTAAAAAAGATTGCTAGTAGATAAAGAAAGAAAAAAAATTTTTATCTGAAAATAAGATTTTAAGATAATTCGTGTAGTGATACCTAAGAAATCTTTAAGTGAGAAGTTTTTTTTTTTTTAATATTACCAGCATATTGGAGTGTTTATAAAAAAAATTTTCAACACAATAAAATTTTTTTTTTCTTTAAAAAAATTTTTTTCTAAAAAAATATATAAAAAAACAATTAAAAAAAGGGATAAATAAAAATGCACACTAATATTTAACTATTTGCATTGCCTGTATATCATTTAATTTTTGAAAAATAGATTTAAGCCTCTGAGGATAAGATTCTGAGAAAATTCGAGTAGAGATTCTTGCAAAATCTCTAGGTGAGAAAAATTATTTCAAATTTACCAATGTGCTGAAACATTTTAAGAATTTTTTCAATAATAAGTTTTTAATTTATTTATTTTTAAATAAAATGGATTAATCTTTTAAAAAATAAAATAATAAAAAAATTTGTAAAAAAGAAAAATGGGTGAAATAACAAAAGTGGAAATTAGAATAGTTAAGGAAATTATTGTTAAATACCAAAATTAAGACATTTTTGTCAAAATTAAAAGATAACACATAATTAATTGATATTGTTTAACAGGTGCTATGGGGGTACCAATCTTTTCTTACGTGTAATCAACTTTCGAACCCAAACTGTTTTCGTAAACCGAATAATTATTTTTTAATGAATTTTAATTAATTTTAAGATTTTATTAAAGGAATATGTTCTAATAGGTGGCCAAATCACCTAGTCAAAAAAGATTGGCGATGACTCCAGTTGTTTTTAAATTTGTCTAACGGCCTCAAAACTATTATGACAGCTTGACGACTCTATTGGAAATCATTTTTTTGAGAGTTAAACTAAAAATTAATTATAAGTTATCCTTAATCTTGATTTAATGGTCTTAATCGATATTTAACATTAACTCTCTTAGTTTTGAATTTGTTTTAAAAAAAACCAAAAAACAAAAACAAAAACAAAGATGATAATGATAATGATAATAATAATAATGAATAAAAGAAAATCATTTGCATCTCCTTTTAATTATTTTATTCTTTTATGTATAATATCATTAATAAATTATAGGGCATTTGTGTTAATCTCCTTTGCACACGCGATAATACTTTACATCTCATGCATGAGCTCTATACCTGAGCTCTGTCCCTTATAAGAGGAAGTAACGTACATATGTTCTCGTAAGGTGATAACCTCTACAATGGTAAGTAAAATACTTTCACTCAAATTGACCCTTTTCCATTCATAACCTATAATGAGTAAGGATCGAGATATCTTACTAATCTAGCATAGACGACAGTGAGAAATAATTTTGATGTTGTGAAGAAATATTTTACTTAAAAAAAAAAAATAAATTTCAAATTGAAAAT